TAAAAAAATAATTAAAAAATAACATAAAAAATGAGGAGTTTTAAATAATTAATTTGATACTAATATCGATATATTTTTATCAAATTTTTATGATATATTCAAATTTATATTTTATTCAAAAATAAAAACATCACCGTTTTCTCAAAATCACATAAGAACATATTATAACATCGAATGAGATAAATAATATAATGAAATATTAAAATCAAGATGTATATCGCTTCATTGCGCGAGTACCCTTCTAGTATATATATATATATATATATATATATATATATATATAAATACTCAGGATTGGGTCTAGGGTCGAGGTTGAAAGGTATTCCCATCCTTGGCTTCATCCCCGCTTAGTGAATTTGGGGATGTATTCCTCATTCCCATACCCATCTCCGGTGACACCATATTCAATTACCGGATTTCCTATCCGGTACGAGTCTTTTTTCCATCCCTCCTAGATATACTAAGTTGCGTCAACTATTAAAGAAAACTTGCAAACAATTTAATGGGTAAAACAACGATTGTGGAATGGATTATCATAGTTTATACTTGATAACCAACAAAATGGTAAATATTGTACTGATAAAAAAGCAATAGGTCGAGTGATAATGGACACTAGAGATTCTTCTTGCTGTTTGTTATCTTCAGGGTCTCATGAGATTAGTCAAGATGTACACGAGCTAGTATGAACGCTCATGGTTAAAAAAGAACGATGGTTTTTGACAACAATATACTAAATCGAACAAAGTTATTTAAGTGATCATATAAAGATTAGATCTCCTTTTAGAAACTTTCAAGGGACAATATCATCATATAAATCAAACATTCATTTTTTTCTATTGCTATCTTTTATTGTAAACTCGGTCCTTTTTTTGTTAGGATAATTAATTTTAAACATCTCATTAATATAAATCAAGCATTCATTTTTTTTACTTTAGTATTTTTATTCAATTAATTTTTAAACATCTCATTATAAATTATCTTATATTAATTAATTTATCAATTATCAGCCAACTCGAAACAATCTTATTACCAATTTATCACCTAGGCATGAGAATGGGGTGGGGATGGTAGGGAGACCCCAATCCCCATCCCTGTCCTCGATCCCGGTCTCCATCCCCATCGAAGAATATGATCACATCACCAACCCTGTCTCCAACAAGGTACGGGGATCCTCAACAGAGAATCGAAGATTTTGTTCCTGTTAATATAAGATGTTTTTAATCAAATATGTTAACCACCACATTCAATCAATAATGGTTCATGTTTAAATATCAGATATTTCAAAATTTGCTTTTACGGAGTACTAATTATTCATATTTGAACATAATCACAATATCATACGTAATTGTTTGATCAAACAGTTTCGACTTTCAACGTTTTTTTTCATCTAAAAAAAAGATAACTCAAAAAAATGTATATAAAAAGAACTGTCAAAATACATTTTTTTTAAATCTAAAAAGATATTAAAAAATGTATATAAGAACAAAAAGATATTTGGAGACAGGATGGGGACTACATTACTGTCCCTGTCCCCGATTTTTAACTTTCGGGGATCTCCATCCCCATCCCCGGTCATAGATTTTGATGGGAATCCCTGGTCCTCGTTGAGGCGGGTACACTAAGATTGGTCTCATTCTCATACCTAATTGTCAAACATTTTACATGATTCAAAGACAAAAAGTGTTGATACCGAGGGACTGTGTTGTTTACCTCTTAATAAATCTATTAAAAGACGACATTTAAATCGTTATAAAGTGAATTTTATTTGACAAAAAAAAATCTATCTCTTAATAATTTTTAAAGGCTTTCTGAATGAATTTGTGTCATAGTCAATCTTACCTATTTAGCACCCTGATTTAATTCCAAACAACTACCAAACAACCATATTTTATTTCTCATAGCTTAACCACAACAATGGATATCTGATTCATCGTCTTCGTTTGGTTACTTGGACCTGACAACCAGTTTCTTGTGGAGCCAAATGCCAATGGCCATTTAACATGGGGTTCGGTTCGGTTACGAAAGGCCCATTCTACGAGTCTTTGAGTTTGGTGTTTCTTATATAAATGCTCGACACTTTCTTCCATATCTATCGGAGTCATAAAGTCTCCAGAAGCTTCCCCAGTCAACACAGATCTTCACTTCCCCTTTTGTTTTCCGTCCATCAATTTTGACCCACCCTTCTTCAATTTACATTCATCAAATCAGGTTCGATCTTACAATTTCATTTCTCTATTTTGCCCTAAAAGCATTCTCTTACTAAAAGGGTTTCATTTGGGGTTAGAATTCACCAATTATTCGCTATAAATTTTGATTTTGTTTTGTTGTTTTCCAAGTTAACCAAATCTTTTTTGGGTAAAAAAGTGGGATTGAAGATGGAGGGAGGTGGTGTGGTGTCATCTGAGAAGCAGAATGCAGAATCAGCTGCCGCCTCGTCTTATACTTATTGGGTGAGAGAAGCTAAACAAGATGCTGCACCACTTCCTGTTCCTCGTAAGCTTACTGCAGAGGATCTTTCTAAATCCTCTAATCATCTTGGTTCTGCTTGGAATAAGGTATTAATCCCTTGATTCTTTATTTTACTAATATCCCAAATCCTTCCTATCAAATTCTCAACTTAACTGGTATGGATCTATGAATGCATATTGTAATGGCTCTTGAACACTATTCATTATTACTGTTCAATATAAAAGAGGAAAGATATATTTGATTTTGAATGTCAAATGAGTACTTTTCAGTTTTTATCTCTAAAATTTATAGGAATTCTAACTTCTTTCCAGAAACTTCTGCTAACTATATTGAATTTTGAAACAAGAATCTCAAACAGAATAATATAAGGGACAACATGGCTTTTCATAATTGGGGAGGAATATCTTTGTGCAAGATCTTGGTTACAATTTTAGCGAGGTCATTGTGTCTGTGATTCGAACTGTAAGAATCTGAAGTTAGCTGGACTTGGACCAGTTCTTCTCAATATATGTTGGGAATCTACCTTCTCTCCTCAAGGGATTTTTTGAGAGGTTTTCGGGGGTTCCACATATATTCTGACATGTTTTCAGAGCCGGTGGCTACCCCTCAAGGGACTTAACAATCTGGGGCAATATGTGCTCGTCTAGCCTCCTCTTGATACTTTAGAACAATTTGTGTCCGTTTAGGTTGGAGGGGGTGTGTTAAGAGTCTCACATTGGCTTTACTTGGACAGTTATATATTGGAACCCACCTTCTCTCTTCAAGGGTTCTTTTGAAGAGTGAACTAATGGGGTTCCAACTATTCTCACAAACCTTTAACCAATTTGGTCAAGGAGGCTGTCTAAGCTCCTCCAAGGGTTAATACTTACATATTAGAATACATTGGGCTGTAAATTTGCAAAAATGAAGGGAATAATAATCATACGGTATTTGCATTTTGAAAAATACTAGACTTCACTTAAAATCATGGTACAACTATCTTTTTGGAATAAGATCAGGCGTACAAAGAGTCTAGTGTCAATCATGTATTGAATTGTCACAAGAGTATGACATGATAGATTGATAGTACAACATTTCTAATTCATGCCATCGTCTCAATAATCTTATCTCATATTATCTCTGCCAATATTATAAAGTTCTTGAATTTATCACCCTTCATGGTGTATTTGTACTCATGACCTATGGGTTTCTTGAAACCTTTCTTTTTATTCAAAGTGAGCCATTAGTTTTAGTTTTACTTGTGCTTCTATATCAAGTTGAAGCATCAACTTCTTTTCTTTACATGTCTAGTTGTGTTTATTCTTCAAAGTATTGATGCTTGAAATTTTGAAAATTTTCTATTTGAGTCAAGATGCAACTTCAATTTCAATCTGTTGGATTTATAATGGTATGTTGCCTACTAGAAATATCATGAAGAGTTACCTGCAGTCTAGTCTTGCACTATTTATATGTATATAAATATATAGGGTATATGTAGAGGGAGGATCAAACGAGAACATGGTCAAAATAGGAGAACAAGAAAACAGCCTAATGACATGTGATTTTACATGCGATTATGGAAAACAGTCCAAGCAAGGGTGCGCCTGAGATCTGTCGTGGCCAAAGTCACGTGAATCACATGTGATTTTACACGTGGTGTTAGTGCAGAATCACATGTGATTCGGCTGCTTTTGTGTTCTCTTATTTAGTTACAGTTCTTGTATGACCCAACCCTCTCTCTCTATATATGTGTATATAGAAAAGGTACTCGCATGTATATCCAGACTAAGAAATGTCTGATTACTTCATAATACTCCCTCCCAAAATAAATGTCCACAATGAAAAAGACGCAAAGTTTTAGAAATGTGTAATTATTACCCTTTTAGTTAACTAATGACAATTCTACCCTTAACAATAGAGCGAGTTCTCAATTTCTTCATCTCATAATTAAGTGTAAAATTGAAAAGTAGGTGCTTGCTTTTAAAAGTGGACACTTATTTTGGGACAAATTACAATAGAAATGTGGACACTTAGTTTGGGACGGAAGGAGTAACATGATTAGCTAATCCATGACAGGTCTTGTCTTATATCAAACTATAGCATCTTTCTGCTCTAACTTCTGTCTTATTGCTGGCAAAAATGTGCTTTATACCATTGGCCTGGCCTGGCCTTTATTTAAAAGAAAGGATTTACATGATTTTAATGTCAACTGCAATTTTGTAGGCAGTTTCTACACTCACGGGTGTATTGAGCTGACTTGAATTCCATCTAGGATTGTGTGATACAATGGAAATTTTTGTTGTCATTCAAATGGTATCTATAAGTGTTTTTCTCAATGCTGTTTGTGCAACCAGGTCTGGTCCTTAATTAGTTGTATTTGATATTATAATAGGGCAAAATGCAGCGAAGTTTTGCTTAGTTTTTGTTTAGAGTAACAAAGAATTTTTTTCCTTGAGCAATGTAATAAAGTTTCAAAGTTTTCTATTTAATGTAACAAAGATTCAAAATTTCCTATTATTTTACCAATTTTGACTGTTAGCTTCTTGATCTTGTAATATCTTATGACATGGATATCAAGTTTAGCGTCCACTTTCCTCAACCCTTTTGTATACCTTTAATAGACGGGTATCCACATCATCAAATGTAACAAAATTAGCAGGTTACCACTCAAAATGGGTACAATATAGGAAATTTGGAACTTTGTTACATGGAGAAAAAAACCTTCTTCATTACGCTAAATAAGAACTAAACCACATATATTCTTTATTACACTGGTAACTTTTATTGTCTCGATGAAATCACACAAATTTTCTTTTAAATGCATATACCATATAACAACTCTAGTAGCCAAAATCGAGTGAATGACTTGCGTTTGTGTTGTCTTATTGGTCATTGGCTTATACAAATCTAATGGCATACCCTTTTGTAGGCTGGAACATGGGAGGAGAAGAACCTTAATAAATGGGCAACTGAAAGAATCAAGGTTTGTTTTTCTATGGATATTTGGCTGGTAGATTTGCTGTATTAGACGGATTGAATGCCTAAATTCAAATGTATAAAGCTTTTGAGGCATCCATTTTGCATCTCATTTGTGGTGCTTCAGGAGTTGGTTCTGTCAGTGGGTTCTTTGGAGTTCTCTTCTGGAAAGGCGGAAATTGAAGAAGTTTCAAGATGCACAGGAGATGTGAGTACTTTTCTTCATATTGGAAGTCCATTAGGCCATGTTTGGCAACCGTAAGCTAACTTAATTTTTGAGCTTATCAAAAAAGCCTTGTTTGGCTTGGTTGGCCATAAACTAGTTTCCTGGAAAGCTACTTCAAGTAGCATTTCTATAAGACGTGGGCTTGTTTTCCTTCCAATTATGCCCCCATATCAATTCAGTTAAATTTTTATCGTGTCTTTTTTAAGTCATTTTACATTGTCATCTATTTTTTAACAAACATGGGTAGTTTATCAACTAACAACTAGCTTATTGGCCACTAGTTAGCTTATTAGCCAACAATTAGTTTGTTGGCCATCAACTAGCTTATAAGCTAATTTGCGAAACATAGCCTTAATGGCAGGTTTAAGGAACACAAGACACGTGAAAAAAGAGGCAAAAAAACAAAAATAATCAGGAAAGGAAGAAAACACACGAGTTTTTATTTAGATGAAACTTAAAAGAATGGGTCGATGTTAGTGGTGTGAGAGTTTTAGTTAGAATCAAATGACAATGGAAATATTTATCAACTCATTTTTAGTTCTCATTTATAAACGAGAAATATTTAGTTTTCATTTATTTATTTGCAGGCTTTTTTGGTGACTGTAAGGAATAAGAAGCGTGTTGGGTACACATATGAAATAACATTGAAAGTCAAAGGTAAGCTGGTGGAAGTGTGTTGGTCTACCAACTCATTTTTCTCGTTTTATATTATCAATCTGTATGCTTACAATATGATACTTGATGAGCAGGGGAATGGCTTATTGGTGAAGAGAAGAAAACTTTCAAAGGCAATTTGGATATAGCGGAGTTCTCGTTAGGGGAACTGGATGATTTGCAGGTAATCTTTTTACACTATAGTTCACGAGTGAAGTAGGAACTCTTAAATGGTAACATTATGACTTTTGAGGTAAGTGGGCAGATTCTTATCATTTATGTTGACTTGAATATTGTGGCCTTTTTGTGATGACGACATTGACTTGATATTCGGGGCTTTAGGCATTTCCGAGGACATGACCTCTGATAGGACTTGATATTCAATATTATAATTTGTACCTGATTATCACTAAATCTGGTAGAAAGCCATTTTGGTCAAAATGGTCTTTTCAGACGGATATTTTAGTCCATTCGAGGAACTGTTACTATCTCGGTTCCATTCTATGAGTTATGTGTCGGGCAAATGCTTATTTCAGAAAGACATTTTAGTAGATTTGATGAGTTATTACTATTTCATTCCATTTCATCAGTCATTTGTAGGGAAACTGGTCCCTTCAGAATGTTAGAATATCTATGAATCTCTCTCTAAAAGAGCGATTATAGAGAGAGGGGAAGTTCCTATATAATATACATATAGGTTTGATGGTCTGTATCTACCATGTTTAAGCATTGAAGAAGATGACAATTGAGATATGACTATTGAAGCGAAATAGACTAAATTGTACGGGTACATCTTACCATCCTACACCTCGATCGTTATGTTAAAATGGTAGCCCGAGTAGCATTCATTAAGCTTATTGTTTGTATGGATTTAGACAAATTGGCGTTTGTTGTTTGTGCTGTCTGAATGAATGAGAAAGAACAAGTTATTCATAGCATAAAACCCATTAAGATGCAAACAAACAATCGTTTTTATCTTAATTTCTCACACTTCTCAGGTGGAAGTGAGGCTGAACGATGACAAGGATCTTGTTCATCTAGATAAACAACGAATTCGTCAGGATATGAAGATGTTTGTGAAGCCTCTTCGCGAGAAATTTCTCGAGTTTGAAGCAGAACTTAAAGAAAGGTAGAAGTAACATTATTTATTATTATTATTATTGTTCAACTAAAAGCATTTTCAGTTTCTGTGATTTCAGAATATGCAAACTACTGATGTTAAAGGGATTATATAACTTTCTGAAAACCTGTAATGTTGCAAGAACTTCATGTGCCAAGACATTTGAATATTTGTAGGCTTTTTTGGTTCTCTAATATTAGATCCGTCACAAAATATAAAACCGATTCAACAAAATCTATGAAAATAGACCGTTTTATGGAACTTAATTTATAGGATTAAACAATCCCCGATATTTAAGAAGATTTTTAAAAAAAGCCCCTAACTCGACAAATCAGCTAAAGTAGAAGAAAAGGGCTAGCAAAACTACTAGAGTCTGGTGGTTGGCAGATGGTGTTTGGTCGATAAGCGTTAGTTTGTTCAGTCGTCATGAGTGGGAAACGTATCTAATATCTTAATTGGGACTTAGGAATAGCAAAAAGTGAAAAATAAAAGTTATTTCGATCATTTTTAATCTTATGCTTATTTATGAATTGCGTTCTAAAAGGGTGTGCTCTGGGGTATCGTATAAGTGTTGACATTTAATTAGGATTGATTCAAAGACAAATTTTTTTTTTTTATGTTTCTCATCATAACTTTCTTTCTCTCATACACACACATATTGAGGGTTGAGTTGCAGTGAGAAAGAAAGTTAAAGATTATAAGCGTAGAAATGATCACCACATTTGGATGCATATAAAGATGAAGTACACCGAGATAAGATGCATTGAGATGCACAAAATCAATTCCCTTATCAAACATAATTTATTAGTGAGTTTAAGATTAAAGATGATCAAAAGTTCAGATTTTTTTTACGTTTGCTAGCTTAACTCTTCTTTTCATACGATTCTTAGTCTATATATATATATATACATATATATATAGAGAGAGAGAGAGAGAAGAACGAATTATTATGCAACCTTTTACATTTGTACAACCAATACAATTCATTCTCAATTGTCCATTTAATTTGATGAATATGTGATTTCACAAAAGTTTAAATTGTTTCCTAATATAAAATATTGATCGTAATTAATGAACTTTACTAATCTTCCATAAATATTGAAATCATAATAAATGAACTTTTATCATTTCCATAAATATCTCAATTGATTGGGTAGCATTGGTTGTACAAATGTGATGAATTGCATTTGAAACGTTATATATATATATATAGAGAGAGAGAGAGAGAGAGAGAGAGATGAGTCATTATGCAACCCTTTACATTTGTACAATCAATATAACTCAATCTCAATCGTCCATTTAATTTGATGAATATGTGATTTCATAAAAGTTTAGATTGTTTTATAATATAAAATATTAATCATAATTAATGAACTGTAGTCATTTTCCATAAATATCTCAATTGATTGGGTTGCATTGGTTGTACAAATAAATATGGTTGCATTTGAAATATACACTATATATATATATATATATATAAATGTGGTTTGCACGGTTTACACAAATGAGGGCGGTTTTCATATGATCACTCCTCTCTCTCTCTCTCTCTATATATATATATATATGTGTGTGTGTGTGTGTGTGTGTGTGTGTGTGTGTGTGTGTGTGTTCATATGGTTCTTACATTAACAAAATAAATTAATAAAAATAATAGGATTTTTTGATTTTGTAACTCTCAATTAATGATATGGGAGTTACATAATTTTTTTTTACCTAAATACCTTTTTTCCCTTTGTTCACATATGTTCTTTGAAATTGTAAATTTAAAAATTTAATTTTTTATCATGATTAATCACAACCCTTTATTGTAAGAATTAATGGCCAAGATTGATCAACAAAGTTAACACAATAATTTTGGTTAACATTTGAACCAACCCATATATATATATATATATATATATAGGGTTGGGTTCACGTGAGACCAGTCTGTTTTCGTGAGACCCGTGAGACCAGCATTTTACACGTAAACTTTACAGCAAAAACACTGTGAAGGTTTAAAAAAAGTCGAACCTTCATAGCAAAAACACTGTGAAGGTTTTAAAAAGTCACCTTCACAACATTTTTGCTGTGAAGTTTACGTGTAAAATGCTGGTCTCACGGGTCTCACGAAAACAGGCTGGTCTCACATGATCCCAAGTCTCTCTCTCTCTCTCTCTCTCTCTCTCTATATATATATATATATACATGACATCATGTGAGACCAAGGGTTTTTCATGAGACCCGTAAGACCAATTCTCAACCCTTGAACTAGATCTACAATCTGAACATTCATAATCACAAAATTGCCACGAGACTTCTCAATAATCACAAAATTGCCACCGTGCAATTTTCGACCATTAGATCATTAGTTTATAAAGTTGATCAATGAACATAAATTGATCTTACGGGTTTCACGTGAACCCAACCCTATAAAAATATGTTTGTATTTCATATACGAACCATATTATTGTGTTTTTTCTTATGCAAAACGGTTTTTGGTTATGAAATAACAAATGTATGAACACCTCTTTTTCACATAATCTGTTAATACAACAGAATACTTTATACAACTGATACTCAAAACCGTACAAATCAATACAATAAAACTAAAAGAGGCGAAATAGAGTTGCATTGCTCGGGACACGTTTCCAATTAAAGATAAAGAAATAATTTAATTTAATTACAATTAATTAAGTGTAGGAGGGTTGGGTATGGTGTAGATTGGAGTTGCTAAAAGAATAGGTGCATGAATAACCCTAATTATTTCCTTTTCATACCAATTTTAATCTTATATCAAATTTGCTCTTACTTTCATTCAAATCAAACTAAGTTACATGCTCAAGTTAAATATTTATTTATAAAATACCCATATAAATAATATAATGTTATAATTACCAAAAATTATATCAATATATTTTATACTCTCTTTTACTTTTTTTTATATTTTTAATATATATATTAAATATATACGATAAATGCAACAAATAAACTCACACACACTCCTCACTATTAGTGAGGTTTGAACCCCTAACTTTTTAGGAGGCAATGGGCTCAGATACCATTAGGTCAAAGTACTTTAGAATTGTTTTTGGCACAACTTTGTGAGTAAAATATATTGAGAATATTTTACTGAAAAAGGAGTATTTTTTTTTAAAATGTTTTTTCTTAATGTAACACCCCAAACTACATATTGTATGAACCATATTCTTCATATACAAGAAATACATCTTTGTACACCACATAGGTCCCTTAGTACAAGAATCTATCATTACAGAATACATGGTCCAAAAATTCAAAATACAATTCTTGTACTAATCAAGATTTATCTATCAAAACTATACATATTATTAGCCAACCTTCATGCAGAAAAACACATTAAGAAATTATCACATTTTCCCTTTTCCCTTACCTTCTGCACTTCCTGCAATAAATGTTTAAAATCACAAAACGAGGGTTAGACCGAAAGGTCTAGTGAGTTACCCTATTTATGTTATTGCGGGGTGATAATCACCAAAACTTTTATATAAAATAATTCTTCATATAAATAACAAATATATGAACAGGTAAGAACATAATACCAATATCTTTCACTTTCCAGGTCAAATTTTCTGCTTGCAAACAATACATCAAATCCAAACAGATTTACACAATCCAGAATATCATAATGCTACTTTTAAACCTTTCAAGTCAAATAAGGTTTATTTAAAGTTTCAGACCAAACCTGTTATCTCCTCCTCAGTAACATCCAGACTATGATTTCCAATAAGAACCCTGATCCTAAACCTTTAAATCACAAAGAAATAAAGATTCCGGACCATGGTAATCTTAAAGGATATAATAGTAAGAGTTATATTACATAACATACATACAAATGTCACCCTTATATCCAAATGTACACATCTCCTTGATATGCCACTTTTATCCCATGGTACACCTCTCCTTGATATGCCACTCTTATCCCATGGTACACCTCTTCTTGATATGTCACCCTTATTTCTTCATCAAAGTATTTCAAAAGAATATTTCATGTAAAAATAGACCGCACTTAATGGAATATTATCAGTTCAAAAATCAGTTTTATAAAAAATCCCCACTTCTTTTAAATAGATCAATATAATGATAAGTCAAAGTTCAATCCGGTCAAACCTTGGCCGGATTACCAATCTGGACAACACTTCATATTATGTCCGATTTAATACTTAACTAAATTATCAACACTTTGTCCGGATTACCAATCTGGACAACACTTCATATTATGTCCGATTTAATACTTAACTAAATTATCAACACTTTGTCCGGATTACCAATCTGGACAACACTATTCGTGTTTTGTCCGATTTAACAATCTGATCAACTCATAGTCGTATTCATACTTCTCCGATTTAAACTCATAATCATAAGTCAAAGTTCAATAAATCGCTCAATATACAAATCGGTCAACTCTTGATCGGATTATCCTTAAACCGGGTGAGCTTATGTTCGATTTACATCTAGATCGACCAAGTCTTGTCCGGTTTAAGACTAAACCGCTTAACCTTTGACCGGTTTACATATAAACCGCTCAATCTTTACCCGATTTATATCTAAATCACCCATAATATGTACGGTTTACATAAACCAGGTGAAAGTTCATATGAATCAGTTTATGCAAATTTTCATATAAATATACAAAATAGCTTAACCACTCACCGTATGCAAATCTTTTGAAAACCGGTCTTTAAAATTAACTTGAATTCCGATCAAAACAATCCGGTCAAACCTTCTTCACTTAAATCGCCTACTTGAGGTTCAAAAATGGGAAGAGGATGAAAGGGAGGTTTCAACCTCTTTTATACCCTTCCCAAACAGGGAAGGCGGCTACCCTACACACCATGCATACATATATCATGCATGAATGTGTATATATATATTATGCATATAATACCTATACATAAAATTTCACATACTGGCATGATCATATATATAACAATTTATCATGCTAACACATATTCATATATCAAATAATCACATATTAATTACCTCGGGTGATAACCAGAATCCAGTTATCACACTTAAATTTTATATTTCGTTCTTGTGTTTAGGTGTTTTTAACAATTATTTGTCTCTTTTTTGAAAATATAATGACGTGTTTTTAAGGTTGCCTTTTTTTTCTTCTTTTTAACGAGCTACACCCTAATGGTTGCATCTTTTTTATGAGTTGGGTCTCTACGGTTGA